AGCAGACGAAATTACACAACTAATTGCTGTCATAGAAAACAGTTGATACCAGAACCAGGTGCACATCAAATCCAGAGAGAGGGAGCGCCCACTTGTATACTGTACCTCCCTGGCGAGAGAAAATCCGAAAACCAACAACACCCTTAGAAATACCTGCCGGGATGATTGTCTGGTTTACAAAATTTCTGTCATAATACATAAACAATTAGATAAGGCTGGGTTAAATCATCTACAGTATGTGGTTAAAATCTCTAAGGAAACCCAACCAACTTAAGCCACACTAAAACATTACTGTATTACCTTGGTCCTGTCTGAACCTACACAACAATGGTAAATTAACCCTAAGTTTACAAAGCTCATTCCAAAGGTAAATTGATTCTTTTTCTTTTGTGTTTGTAGTATTTTTAGTTAATGATTTGCTCTATATGGTTATAAATTACAATACCTGTTTTACACATTGATGAGTTTTATTTTCAATCCAGTACACTGATTTACAGTATTATAACATCTATAAATATACAGTAGTAACTCTGAATACCGATTACTGTACACCGATTTGGGTAATCCCTTTTCGTCTAGCCCAGTACAGTGTGTCTGCTCTGATATGTGGTGATGTGGAAAGGGTCCGGAAGGCCACCATATGTTGTCACATTGAATCTTTTATTTTCTATGTAATTCTGCAATAAACTGATTCTTCAATTCTGGTTTTAAATAAATTTCCAGCTAATTAGGACATATTTTTGGCAGTGTAAGAACACAACTGCATTGCATTACAGGATAAGGTGCTGAAGAAGTTACTCATCAGCAGAGATATTTCCAATAGCAGACAGACTTAGTTGGTATCAGTCAGGTATTCAGAGGATTTACTGTGTATTTCTCCTGATATCCACACATAGCTAACTTAATATATTGTATATCTATCTTAGTGGCAACTATTTGATGATGGGTTAGGGAGTAAAAGGAAATTTTAAACATTATGAATATAGATGCATGAAATGATAATGTTTGACTCCCTGTAATGACATAAGTTTATGATATTTTTGTTCCCTCAATGAAATATTACAAGTTCAAGAATATGCCAAAAATTCATATGTAAATATAGTATACATGGCAATGAGAGTGAGTTTGGCGTATTTCCTGAAAAAAAAATGCATTAATAAATGTATCTTCATTACACTGTAGGAAATTTTGTCAAATATTTTTCTATTGGTAAAAACCTGTCACCTCTTATGCTACTCAACGAACCCTGAGATTGAAACTCATGAATCAGAAGCATTTATGGACTGAATAACACATCAGTGTCTATTGCTTCTGGTTCACAAGGATGAATCTCAGGGGTCATGGAGCAGCAGAAAATGCAACAGGACTTTTGTTTGTGACAATACAGAACATATAAGCATGGCAAAGAAAATATATACCGGGCGTATTAGTTTTAATATTATGTGCGGATGCATGGAGGCTTTCACCATAATGAAGTGTAAAGAAGCTGATATATAAACTGAAGAATTTATATATATATACTGTATATATATATACAGTATTCAAAATTCATACACAGTAATTGTTCATTGGTCTTTAGTTTTAAAACACCTGACTTCTATTGGTCTACTGCACATTACACACATTTGCTCCATCATGTCCTCACCATCGTTAACCACTTTTGCTCGGGCTCCCCTGAGAGCCGAATACATTTCTGGCATTACACAAATAAAATAATGAGGAGTTCCTGAAGTGAAAAAGTTATTTATTTGTTTATGTACCATATTCATTCACATGTTGATCAGGCAAGGAATCTCATATTTTTTTATGGTAAAATCTTATTCTTTTAAGAGCAAATGGGGCAGTGTCCATAAACCAGTACAGTAGTTATATTCTAAAATTATTTATCCTATGATCCCCTAGCACCTAATACTGTTTTTTAATAATTAATTTTCAGTGTGAGTGAGTCCCATAGGATTTATGGCCCAATAGGGCAGTGTGGATACAGCATGCTGTAAAACTATACCTTTTTCGGTACATCAGTAGGCAGTGTGGCCAGTATTGTACTTCATCATCTACTCTTTACTTTATCCTCTTTGCCACTAATCAGGCGCTAAGGAGATTGGTCACATCTCTGTTACACACTACACTATTGGGCATGTACTGGTTCCAGAATGTATCTGTACCTGTGCCATTACAGAGTTCTATCACTCATAATTATTTAGCACATTGGACTAGTGTATCATTGTTGAGGCGCTCTAATAACATTATAACAACAAAACCTGCTTCAGTGTTGGTCAAGTCTGGTCTTGAATGAGCTCACACTTGGTCCCATCACATTGCTCTCTCGTAGATTGTTCCAAGAGTTCACAACTCTCGTTCCAAAAAAGTTTGCCTTGACAACTTTCTGAACTTACGGCTTCTTCAACTTTAAGCTGTGAGCCCTAGTGGGGCGGGCATTTGCCAGTTCCAGGTTCTGTAAGAACACTCGACTGCATACACTGTAATGTCCTTTGACGTGCTTGCTGTATAGACTTCAATTAAGTACCCCCTTGCCTACCTATAAGCTAGGCAACTGCAGGCAAACAAGCAGCCCTGGGACAGATGAGCACTACACACACACAGAAGCTACATCCTGATTTTTAAAGTTTCATATACCAGTAATATAGTAAATATATCATACATTCTTCACTCACACAGCTCTCTGCAGAATGGTGGGTCAAGTGGAGGAATGGGGAAAAGTGGAGGTTGAGGTGGAAGCCCCAAGAGACATGATCAAAGTTTGGTTTCAGATGAATAAATTCTATACGGTGCTGTATTTGTGTAAATTTTACTTATAAAGTACAATTACTCCCTAAAAATTGCTTTTGTGAAAAACGTCCTTAACAGTGGAATACAGTACTAATACTAAAATAAGAGATATTCTTGCCTTGTTCAGCTTACCTCACTTGTTTAAGGCAAATCTCTTTTTTTCACAAATCTTTTCTTTCTCCTGTATAATACATCCAGAATTATGTAGCAGTTTTTCCACTATTATGTGGGTGGGCCGTACTTTACCTGAAGGTGCAGTGACCAGTGTGTGGACAAGACTATGTAAGAATGACACAAATATGAAACATTATGAGGAATTATTTCTCAGGTAATTAAACTGGTAATAAGTTTGGTAAGGCATCATTAGTTGACTGTTTACATGTGCTACTCAGATGCTCAAAACATAACTCCCAATGTGATGGAATGCAAGTGTTTATACTTTATGAATATATCATGTTAATCCACAAAGAATCCTCCAGACTATCATCCTGGTCTTCCTCTAGTTCTCTGTGTGTGATGTGGTGTTTTTATAACAAGCTGGTAGGAATATGGTTATAAAACCAGTACTGAGCTAGTTCATGTCAGTACTATATGGTGTGTATATTTATCAACTACAGGTAATCTTTTATGGCAGCACATTTAGTAAGAATTGTGAAAATGAGTCCCAAAATACAATACAAGTTCTGATAAAAATAAAGATTAAAGGACATGTAAAAATACTAATACATATTACAAAAAAAGAATAATGTGACAAAGACTGGGTAAGGTTATAAGCTCGAATACAATACTTAAAGCAGACACCAGTGAAATTTCATAAAATGGCTGTTACTTAAGAGAAACTAGGACACCAAATTGACAATCGATTAGAATACAGAGGATTATGCAGTCTATGAAACGTCAAGGCATCATTCAACTGTGAAGGGAAAGAAATTGATTGGGAAAGTGAGGATTCGAGTCTTGAGGTAAACTTCGTATCTAAATAGAAGCCCAACAAAAATAAGAAAGGGACAGAGTTTGGGTTACCCAGCATAGTGTCAGAAGGTATGGGTTGTGGTACTGTTTTAGAAAGTATGGGTTGTGGTACTGTTTTAGAAAGTATGGGTTGTGGTACTGCTTTAGAAAGTATGGGTTGTGGTAGTACAGGCAATCCCCGGGTTCCGTACGAGTTCCGTACATATAGAACAATGTTTAAAACCCCACTAGGAGTACATTTTAGCCTAAGTCCTTATATACAGTACATCTAAAGTCACTTAATTTAAGAGAAAATAAGAAATAGAATGATAAAATGCAGTAAATGAAAGTAAAAGATAAGACATCAGGTAGAGATAGTAAGCAACTATGAAACAGAGATGATATTGGAAGTATAATGTGTTGTCTAATATACCTGGCTGGGCTAATCCCTGTTAAAAAAAAAACTATTTATTTTAAAGTTTAACATTATGAGACCTCGTTCATATCGGTGAATGTTCATAAGTCAGATGTACAGTCAGCCAAAGACACACCGACCCCACCCTGGGTCTCGTGCTCGCAATTTTACCTGGCAATACTTGGTAAAGGAAGGCTGTATGTAAAGGCGATTGTGATTGGTGGATCTGTTTTTGGCTGTATCACTGTTAGGATAATTAAGCAAACCAAAGGTAGAGTTTATAATAATAAACTGTTCATTGTTTTGTTTAATCCCCCTCGTTACAGAAGGGTTGCGTCTCTGGAAAATTGACCGTATCGCGAAACCTATTTTCCCATTGACTTCCATTATAAAACTGGAGATGCGTTCCTAAGGAATTTTTTTTCGGCCCCCAAAAAGTAATTCAAGCACTTTTATGAATGAAAATAAACATTTATAAACACATACAATACAGTACATTAAATAATTTATGATACACCTTTTAAAACATCAAGTTTAATATCCAATGTAATGCCTTTGTGGCTTCTTTTTGCACTACTGCGGTCACTTCCACTTGATGGCCTCTTTCCAGTCATCGTGAATAAGGGTAATGCACTGTACTGTACTTACTGTATGTTTGTAAAAGTTAAATCCAACTGCTGGGGCGAGAAACATGAGCGCACACTGGATGTAAACAATGGACTGACTCCTCGTGGAGACGCCACGCTTGGTGGTAGCAAACACCAAGAAATCCACACCAAACAAATTATAATTTTTAACCAAAAATTTTAATTCTATATAGTGACTTTTGTTTTTTAAATTGTTAAAATTTACCCCAATTTCCGTAAAGGCAGATTTACGGGCCGTATCGCCAAATTATTGGTCATAATTTACAAATTCCGTAAGAGCAAAATTCCGCAACCCGGGGGTTCCATAACACGGGGGATGCCTGTATATACAGTATATTATTATTATTTTTTAGTTATATTTTGCCGGGAAGTGAATTAAAATAAATGAAAGTCCAGTACATATGCTAACTACTCCAGTTGTGTTTTCTATGGTATGGTATTGTATTGTAATAAGTTGTACATGTATAGTACTGTACCCTGTATTGTGTAGTATTGTACAGTATGCAGAAGAGAAGGAAAATATTATGATAAATTCCTATAACTAAAATTTGGCACAGTCTACACCCACTGAGACCTGTTCAGCATGGGTTGTACAGTACTGTAGGAGGAACAAAAGAGGTAAGTTAAAGCCTTTCCATAGTGACTGTATCTGGTGAACCTCAGACAAGTTACATCTTTTGTATCAATATCCACATCCTCAATAATCTGCTGTAGGTGAAGTCAATCATTCATAAATTATCTAAAAATTAAATATCATTACCATCTCTTTTTCCAAGCTTAATAAACAAACCCAGAATCACTTTTAAACTGGAATTATGTATGATTGAATGAGCATCAACAGTTGTGTACATAACAAGTAAAACAAAAGACTCTTTAATGTTCATATTGCAGGTCTGCATGCAACACAAATATAAGAAAATGCTCTTTTATTTAAATAGGGATAATTACATAAAAATACTTCATGCACCTTACTGCTCATACAGAATAAACTGGAGGACAAACTGTGATTGCAATGTAACAAGTTCCTGTTTACAAAATGTGAGAAATAAAGACTGTATATGAACTTCAAGAGGACGGAACTGCCCTAAAAATCTCAAGAGTGGCAGCACAGGTCTGTACACGCCACCCAAGAGCAAATAAAATATTGAACAAATCCACCAATTATTTAGTGCATAATGTCAATTGTACTTCAGTGTTAACAATCAGCATTACTGTTATGTTTACCTTCAGTCACAACTCTGGTTAACCACTTGTGTATGGAGTTACCTTTGAGCTGAAAAATATTGTCTGACGTTACCCAAATAAAATATCAAAAGTGGCGTCCCGATAGTGAAGGGGTCAACCAAAACACAGTTGCTTGCTCAGGATGTGCATAAGACCTGACCTTTATCACAGATATGAAGGTTTATTCCCCAATTTATGGTTCCAAAAGAGAGCACCAATGTTATATACCATCATGATGTTAAATACAGAGCTATAAAACATAATCAAATCAAATAGTTTTTTAATATGAATTTCTGTACAATGGCTAAATATTAAAAAGAAAACAAAATCATGCATAAATGTCAATCATATTCTAATCATCTCAATTATGTTATACGGTTTCTCTACCCAAGGAACTGTATTATCTGGTTACATTCACAAAATAAACAAAGCTTCCTAGGAGAGAATTAACAGACTGAGGAACCTACACTGACAGCCACTCACTAACCTTGGGATCCATCACTGAGAATCATGAATTGGGATCCACTTACAAGAGTCTAGAGATAACAGTAACAAATTATAGAGCACCTCCGTTATACTGACTGACAAAAAAATAACACCATGAATCCCACACTCAACGTCAGGGACACACTCTTCTCCAGGAACTGTTTCTCCTCGGAGCTCTTTACCCTCAAGAAAAATTTAATGATTTAATTACATCACACATCAATAGTTTAGACTCCAAGTTTTCTCCACACTAATGATACATAATTTCCAAGTTCATAATACTGGCACTGTGATCCTTATACAAACAAAATATCAAAGGAGATAAGATTTTTGCACCATTCCTAAGTTGCATAAACAGTAATAATACACTGAACCAACGTAAGATTTCCTTTCTATAAAACTGTTGTAGTTGCATAAAGTTAAATATCCACTTAAAGTGAGATCTCAACCTTTCAAGGAATATTAACACAAATTACACAAGGTCTAGTCATGATCTAATTACTCTTGAAGGGAGGATCCAGAGGGAGCTGGGGAGCATCTGCCTTCACCCTCTTTTCTCTTTTATTTATGTTAAATTTCTCCTTCATATCCATCATTTTTGTTGTAAAATATAATTACATCTCTCAAGCTATCCAATTGGCCAATCATATGTTGCAGTACATTCCAATTAGCCAATCGTATGTTGCAATATATTCCAATTTACCAATCATATGCTGCAGTATATTCCAATTAACCAATCATATGTTGCAGTACATTCAAATTAGCCAATCATATGTTGTAGCTCATCAGATGCTACCAGTTGAGCTTCAAGACCTCAGCCCGTACCACATCAGGGCAATACTCTCTCTAGATCTACTCCCTCTAGTGAATTAGTATCAATGAAAGAGAAGAAACCCACAATGGCAGACAAAATATTACTACTTAAAAAATTATACAGTATTGTCTTTCAGAAGCCATACTGAACTAAAGACAAGCATTGAGATAATACTTGGAAGCATATTCTCCATTTGCCAATAACTCACAATGTATATTGATTATTCACCTCAGCTATATACATTACAGTACAGTATTACCCTGCATGTATACATACCAAGAAAACCATAAATTGCCTTGAAAATACAATCTTTCTTAACACTTTCATAAACATTCATTTACACAAAGTTTACACAATACACTGCATATTAGTTCAGCATATAATATCCTCTTTAATATGACAAAGAAACAAGAAGCAGTCAGTAATGTTATGTGTCTTAATAAACTAACTGATCTTTATATAACACTAATGTATGGAACAGTATTTCATGTGACCTCTTTAAATATTATAAGATTAAATGAACCATAATCTAGGTCTCCTTACAAAGCCTAATCCAATTCTAATGACATCAACGTACACAGAGTCAAAATTGAACACTGTGACTCCTGTTGTCTTGGTAGGGTTGTCAAAATCCTTCATCCATGGTGTCATATTGTCTCACACATAATGGTAAGGATAACTTTTGGAGTGAGTAATGGGTATAAAATATCCACTGTACTAATTACCAGAACAACTTTTTGTCTAGTGGGTGAGAATTGTTCAGAAAGTTGAGTCTTCATTACCACATACAAAGTCTTCAGCTTTTAAGAAATTACTTGTCACACATAAAGTTTTAGTATATTAATTAAATTTATGCTGTAGTAACACACTGTGGATAATTTAGTCTTAAAATTTTCATAATCAGTGGATATAAGTTAGCAAAGATGATCAAGAATTAGAGTTGCAGTGTATAATGATTGGAGTGTGGTCATCCTACATCACTTGTACACTTAGTGGGCTGGTATCAACATTGACAAACAACGCATCATAACTGTCGAAGAATTCTGTGTTTTCTCCCCTATGACTACAATGGTGACACAATTCAACTTAAAATCAATATATAAAATTCATCGTTCTTTATGATAATGGTTTATATTTATTAAAGCTCTAATCACCGCTTAATGGTTTATATAATTAGCAAGGAAAATCAAAGGTATTGTACTGTGATTAAATACAGTACAGCCAATAAAACCAATCAGACAAATTATAGAACACTGAGAATTTCTTTAGTAAAACCACATGAAGAATGAGAAACACTTTTATCTCCATCTCGCATGCCAATTCCCATCTTGAAATCATACATGTATATAGAGGAATACCCCAGTGTCAAAGATCATCAGCATCTCATTAATTTAACATAAACATCAAAGGTTAAAATGTTTACGGAAAAACCAACTGATGTAGATGAACTCTGATGCCGTTCTGTCTTCCTCACCCATATTATAGCTAATCACGTACCAGCTAACTAGATGGTGGTGTGTGTTTGTGTGAACAAGACATTCGAACATATACACACACACACTAAAGAACATTCAAATCAGTACTCAGAGCATTCAACGTTTACCAAGATTCGTGGCTGCACTTTTGCATGTTTCCAATCAAACTTGAATAATTTTTTCACATGACGTACACATTATATTCTGGCTTTCAGCTGTTTTAATAATATAATACAAACAAGGACTTAAACGACACAAAGACAAGTGAAAAAAACACACATCTGTTACAGACTTACACCTTTTATTTATGGCAACTGCAGATCGACATTTTGGTCCCTGAGCTTCTTCATCTAGCAGGAAAAAATAACATCTTCGAAAAGTACACTTAACTTATTCTAGAAATACTACCTTACTGAGTTGTCTTTATATGTTCAGAGTCATCCCAAAATTCCATTAACATAAATGTACTCAAAATTGGGTACTGAGCGTATGAAAATTTGAAAATAAGCAGCAGCGGCGGTGGCATGACAAATTGTGTTTCGTGATTCTCATTTTATTTCAAGTTGGTCCATTCACTGACAAAGATCAACGTAAGAAAGTTCGGTAATCCATCTTGTTAAAAATATTGGAAGTTGTTAAGGATGATTCTAGTCAAAGGATTTATTGCATCAAAGTTAAGTGCAGCAATTTCGCTAATGTGCCCAACACGGCAATACGTGAAACTGGCTATTCTGGATGATCTCGGTAAGTACTGTAAAACTACATTAACATCTCGCATAAATTTGGGGTGTTGATAAGAGTCCACAACACAGTCCATTAATAATCATGTAAAAAAACACCATAAATCATTAAAACATTACCATATATGACCAAATCAGTAATAAAAAACAAACTTAAATGAGTTTTGTACATGAGTGTTGCCTTGTTTACCTAGCGACCACAACAGCCAGCAGTAATGTGGTCGGGGGAAGGAAACCAACCTACTTACTGAATATCACAAGTAAAAGCAACCTCATTAAAGTATCAACTATTGGACACTGATTTTGTCACATATCCACCTCCAAAATAATCAGTCTCAGTCTCACTAGTCATTATAAAGAGCGCTTCAGGGTCAATCAGGAAATCACATGTCGATCTGTCAGGGGCAAAATTTCAAAATAATACTTTCGAATGTTGCGAAGAGTTGGTAAAAGTAAGAGGCTCCTAATGTTTGGTTTCTAAGGTAAGGTTCAAAGTATATATATATATACGTATATCACCGACTCTTAACCTATAGTAAAAACAAAAATAATTGTTATTCAGTTTTCACCATAACAAATATATCTTCCAAAATCTTTTTACTAAACTGTGCAGTAAATTTCTCTCTCCTTACACCAATGTCTGAATAATTACGAAGGTTTACATATCTTTGAGAAAAAACAATAGTTTCTGTTTAATTGAATAATAAAGATGTTATATATTTTTTCTTACAATATCCAGAAACACAACTTACGAAATCTGTCTCACTTTCTCTTTTCTTTAAATAGGTATTGAAAATTTGAACAAACATTGACCTAACAAAACAATTATCTCTTTAAAAATGTAAAATTATTTCCTAAAACAACATCAATCACAAAAAAGTCATAAGACTGTAAAAGGGATAAAGGGACTACTTGCAGCAATGAGATATATTCTTCTCTTATCTTGTCTAACAGTAAGTAAGAAACTATAGTCATTATAGCACTGTCATCACTGCAGACATTTTAAGACTCTGCTGCTAATGTTTCCCAGCTGGGGGTAAACACTGTTGCAGCTGCTGGTAATGATTGACTTATGGAATGATAAGGTGACCAATGAAGCTTGACCTTTAAGCATCGGGCATGGTGTTGGTGGGTACAACTTGGAGGAGCAACTGGAAGAATGTCGTCAAGTGACCTGCAAGGAGAAATAACCTTATCCAATACAACTTTTTATTTTATACATTAATTTATAAATTTTAATTTTCGGAAAAAAAAAGAGCTATTTGCTATAACTACAGTATCTCTTACACACTATCTACCTCTATCTACCAGTTATGACAATCAAACTTGATATATCTATGCACTGCAATGTGTGTAAGCGCATAATGAAAATTCTAGAGACTAACAAATTGTATATATCACTATAAAGTATTTGTAGTTTAATTCTTAACCTGAAATGAAATTCTATCTAGTATGAAATGTTGATATTAAGAAATTTTCCAAAGTGTAGGAGAAGTGTGACAACATCTGCCTCTATATATCTCCTTGGCTGACTTTGTGACACCTCTCACACCTCAGTAACTCTCCTCTGAGGGGCAACCATGACAGAAAGGCCTCCAAGAATTGTTATCATTATTTATCTCTCTTCCCTTCATCCTCTGCCCCATACTCTCCTTAATGTACTACTGCAATCCACCTTTCCTCCCCACAATATAACTTGCCTCTTTACCTACTACACCTGCTATATATTACTCAATAAAACACTGGGTCATCTGAATAAATTGATCCCTTGCCTGCATACCACACAATACCAGTACAGTAACACCCTGTACTGTACAAGGAGATCCCTCAGAATCTGTCAGTATAATACAATACACAACCAAATCCCTACATAACACAGTCATGTTAACCTTCTTGGATGTGTCTGGGAGGTAGAGACATGGCTGAGAGGTGTTGTGAGTCACTCATTACCACACTCTGTACATCATGTATTATAATTTCCATGCTGTGATTTTGTCTTCTATGAACTAATGTGTATGTTATATAATCACCCCCAAACACCATATGCAGCCTTCTGGTGATGCTGCAGATAATAAGAGGACTAGGAGAAGCATCAACCTAAAAACCGAGATACAGTTCCTCAATAGGTCAGCCAGGGAGTAGCAACAATATTGGTGGTGCTTTACTTAGGGTGAACAAGTCCACCACATGAATACCCAGGAAAAAGGTGTGAAACTGAAATCTTCCTTTACCTCCATTTCTTCACCATTACCCCAGGCCAAGTGCATCAAGAATCCTGCTTGGGGGTGTTACGATAACTGCTCTCTTGCTTCCAGCACCACCTTTAATGTCTCCAAGTCACATACTGTGCAGTCAACAACTAAAGTCCATTCACCTCTCCCCCTGAACCACGAACCCTGAGATTCAGATTCAGACTCATGAATCCGAAGTGTCTATGGACAGAATAATGTAAGGAACTTCCCCATTCAAGTGAATCATTCTCTCTACGTAACGAAGACAATTATCTTCTGGTGGATTTTATATGCTTGAATGACAGCTTAATAAACTGTAGTGAACACCTCACCATGCTGCTATCTTCCTACCAGCTCTCATGACCCACAGGCACAGAACGAAGGCCTGTAAGTGATATTACAAGCAAGGTGACCATGGATATCTTTAGTGCTGTATCCCTCAACATATAAACAGAACAGTATATTTGATAATGAACTTTATCCTTTGTTCATTTCAAGGTATGGTAATCATCCAAAGTTTTAATGACAATGGCCCAAGGAATTTAATGAAATCTAATTGATTGGTGTACAGAGAAAATGCCTCCCAAATTTCTACTACTACAGTACTGTACAGTAGTTAAAACAGCTATCTGTGCAGGTGGGGGTCAATATGCTCCGAAATTTTACGTATGACTAGTGGCAGCCCTCATATTCCAAAATTTATCGTCCATGGTCTCATATTGTTTCTCGCAAAGTATGCACAGATAGTTGTTTTAGCTACTGTACAAACATTAAGTACGGATTTACACTTGAATACCATTATGTCAAATTACATCACAATCGGTAGTGGGCTACCACCTACAGTACAGTTTCAAGTTTTTGTGTAATACAGTACCTGTAATGTAGAGTTCCCTCCTTGTACACTCCACAAAAAAGTAACACTGCACCACACACTACTGGATACACATGGCAATGTTGGAACAGTCATTGAATGGACTAGCATTCTGCCAAGAAGGTCTGATGAACCATAAGCTGCTGAATGCATGTGCAAGAATACTGTAAAAATTTTAGCTGACTAACCTATATAATTACCAAAGATCAGATGGTCATCCAATATCAAGTACATAACTCCTCAGTCACACCTAAGGCACTTGTGTAGTCATGGATACACATTACATTACTATGACCATTACCTAAGTCAGTTCCATTAAGCAACACTCACCCATTACTAGGAATCAATACCTATTCACCCTTACAACTATGAACACACTTATAAATTAATTAGTCACCCAAATGGGGATTCAAGTAAACGCTTATCAAAATATTTACCCATGCCGGGGATACTCTTCTTCATGTAGACGAAGGGGAAGTAGAAGAACAGGCCAGCGACGATGAAGAGGGATGCATAAAGGTATTCGATCTGAGGAGAATCGATGATGGGGCCAACCACCAGGTACACGGAGATGATCAGTACCAAAATGGGGATGAAGATGGGGACCTGTTCGGGGTTAAAACACACACGGTAATGCCACGTCACAGAACAAGACATTAAGGCTGTGACTACATATTCCTTCCCTCTTGTATCAGTCTAGAATTAAATAAAATGATGAACTACCTTATACAAAACAAATTGGTATGTCATCTTCCCTGACTAAGGAGGAATTATATCACCACCACTGACTGGAAGTTGCACATAACATCCAAATCACAACAAAAGGCTTCATTGCTCACATTGCATCAGCTCCAAGGTTTGTGTGAATCACTTAAAAACTGGCCATACAGTGTTGAAAGAAACAAACCTGTATCATGAACTCAACTTTTTCAGGATGTTAATAACAGAAGTATATCAGGGTATGTAAAAGAGCTGTAAAGTGTGAGGAGGTCAACCACTCAGAGTAAAGCCAGTGAAAGTTGATGTGCATATTATATATCACTGATGGACTGCTGATAGATACAGTACTAGAACTATATCTAATTATACAGTACAGGTATTTACGAGGGATCAGATGTAATGCCACTTTATCAGAACGTACACATGTGACCTGGTTATACAGAGTGTGGCATAGTCACTTTACTGAGTACACTGTATTGTTTAGAATTTCTACTAAATACAAAAACAAATACTGTACCTTATAAGGGCGTGGAGCATCTTTCATGGTATAGCGCATAATGATGAGGGCTGCCATAGCACCTCCATAGAAGATCCAAGCAGTGAAGCTGAAGAAGTCAATGAGGGAGCCGATATCCGAGGGGATAACCATTAATAGCGCGATGGACGCCTGGGGAACATCAAGTCCATATTATCAACACAGCCTTGATATACTGTAGCCCACTGGCATAAGAGTCTCTGTATGTACTGGTGAAAGATAAAGCACTGTATCTGTCAAATCAAAATCTACTTTACGATATAAGAAACTGTATTCTATGAAAGATTTGAGAATTCTATATAGTACAGTACAGTGGTCCCTCGATTAACGAACGGTTCAATTAACAAAATTTCTGTTAACGAATTAGCTCCCATGAGGCTTTCAGTTCCATTAACAAACAAAACTTCAATTAACGACAGCCTTACAAGAAACACGCTATGTTGTGCGCATCACCTGATCAGCTGTTTTTATTTATTATTGTACAGTACATGTATACTGTACAGTACAGTACTGTATTTAGTTTAAATTTAATGCTTTGTTAATTCTATTACCGGTATACAGTATTTTGTATGTATACTTTTTCTACGAGTTGGAACTAATTACCCAATATCCCATTGAAATAATAGATTCAGTTAAAAAAAATTCGGTTAACAACCGACTCTGTGGAACCAATTGTGTTCGTTAATTGAAGGACCATTGTATATGAAACTTTCGAATATATTGTACAATACAGGTAGTTCTGCTATAACGCGATAATTGTGTTCTTGTAAAATATCGTGTTATAGAAAATCGCGTAATAGAAATAACAGGGCTTATGGAGAAAATGGGGTTAGGTGCAGATTACTCGAAATCGAAAAAATTTAGTAGTTAGCCTAACACAAAGGATAGCACAGTCTAAATAAATGTTACATTCATATCTAATAATGAAATCATACAGTAAATGTAACACTTTACTTGATGGGGGAGAAGGGTGATTTTGAGGTTGATAAAATCGAGCTTCTCTTCAAGTGTTATATCCTTTCTTTTACGATCATCACCGGGAATTTTATCACCAGAATGCTTCTTGTTGATATTCTCCTTTACTATATTCACAGTTAATACCACAAAATTGGAGAAATAGTAAGCAAAAATCGCGTTATAGCAAACAAGCATTCGCGTTATACAAATATCGTTCCTAATTCATAAATCGCGTTAGAGCAAATTCGCGTTATCAAAACACGCGTTATAGCAGAACTCACTGTACAGTAATTTTCTTTTCTTTAAATTTTTACACATTACTGTACATGAGAGTAAATGAGGAGAAATTGGACAGTCAGACACCTGACTGAAAGTCTATGTGGTGTGAGTGATGATTTGGACCATCAGACAATTGACTGAGTGACTGTGTGTGGTGTGAGTGACGAGTCTACTTGTCTTCAAGTAATAACACTGAGAGAGTTAGAGAATAAAGAAGTAAGTCAGTGTACAGGTGTTGGTAGAAACTAATAATATAACCACAATGACACAACTAATGTGGTTTATTACATGCTTTTTGAACACTTGTTCATGATGGTCACTACTTTACATAATTATCCATTTTACAGATGCCTCTTGAGCCCAAGCATTATGAATGACAGATACTTCACACTACACATGTTTCTAGCATTCAATATATGAAAATGCAAGTGGGTTCCAGTGTGACTCTCTATTAGGGTCAGTGTGAATAGCACACTGTATACAATAGAGTAGAGTAAAGCAGAGCAGATTACAGTACAGCAGAGAAATACTGTATAGAGAAAAACAGAGGGTACATTCTAATCCTCAAATTACAAGCACTATACAAATAAAAGACATACATAAATTAACATTACTTATTCAACAAAATAAGTACATCTACCAAGAGATTAAAGGAATTAAATATTTTTACATATGTATACTCCATTTATACACCTACAAACACAAACAAATACACACACACCCCTACACACACACACACACACACAAAACAAACAAATACACACCCCTCCTAAACACACCTACACATCAGTACTTACATTGAAGAGGAGTGCCGGGGAGGGAGTAAGTTTTTTGGCATGGACATAGGAGAGGACATCTACCATATGACCCTCTCGTGCAGCCACAAAGCACAACCTACATGTCCAAAAATACATCACATTAGTGTAAGCGATGATCTTCAGATGAGAGTTTTGGCATAAAGTTAATTCCATATTTGTAAGTGATTCCATATTTTTAAGTGATTTTGATATTTTTCAGTGATTTCCATGCATGTATTTTTAAGTGATTCCATATTTTTAAGTGATTTCGATATTTTTAAGTAATTTCCATACCTGTATTTTTAAGTTAATTCCATATTTTCTACTTTTTTTTTAATCATGGCAGTCCAGAGGCTCAATGACATCCTCAGAAGGAATATATTGACCAAAAATTTTAATATCTGTGCCACAGTCTATTTAATATGTTACAATTTGATCATGATATAAAAACACATTCCCTGATTCCCTAAGTTACTGTAGTGATGTTCTCTGATGCTTTAGCTTAACACACAACTTCTAATATCACAACACACAATGAAGTATACAAATGACTCTACACAACTCACTCTCATTAAGCGTTTAGTGAAATTGGTGAGAGTGAATACGAGTTTCCTCAGTAAATTGACCATCACATCCAAAGACTCACTACTGATGATCTTTTTCTTTTAATTTTTTACTCTTTATCTCTGGTTTAGGAAGTAAGGATGCTACTGGAAATAATCAGCTAATGGCTTTGTTGCACAGTATATTATCACATGATATTTACAGTACTTAATTCCTTCTGTGATGTCAACTATATTACTCTTATTTTTCAAGGAACATTATAAGCTCGGTAAAAATAAGGCTACTTGATTTATGATTAAAATTTGGAACATAACGGATTTAAGAAAGAAATGCAACTTTACAAAATGTCAAATTTCTTTTTAACTTTATATACAACATGATTAAGAAGTCCCTGTACACCCATTAATTAACAATATACTACAGGTATAGTTATTAACTGTACCTTATTCTACTTATGGTAAATACTGGTAATGGTCAGAGTAAATAATGGTAGTTGAGACCATCGCAAATATTTACTGTGAGTAGAAGAAGGTACAGTAGAAGTCCGAAAATCCAGACTGCTCGGGGATTGGGTCGGTCCGTATTTTCAGATTTTCCGGATTCTCGGGCAGTACTTGTAAAATTCAAATTTAAGGAGGAATAAAGAAGAGATGAACAGGTAAATTTTGATAATCTACTACAGTATTCATTAGCAAATACTCAGACGAGGCTGTGAATTCTAGAATTTTATTCTTTGCCTTTTTTATATTGTAAATTGTAGACTTTCCGATGTCATATGTTTCCATTAGATCAGTATTGCTCACACCACGTTCTAGTTTCTTAATTATTTAAAGTTTGTCACTCAATTTCAACGTGTTCTTCTTTCTCTTCACACAACGAAGTTCATCTAATTTAGGAGCCATTATTATGGGCTTGTAAATACGTATGCTATACAGTACAGGTATATGGTAAATGGAAAGAGTAGGACACAATATTACATAAGTTGTCACAGTTTGATTGCTCATTTTAAAATGGTGACCGTGTGGTCGCTTGTTGTCGCTGTGCAGCTGTGGCGCTCACGCATGCACACACACACACACACAAAAGCTCCGCTAAATTTAAAAAGTTTGAGATTTCAAAAAGTCCGGATTCTCAGGTGGTCCAGATTTCTTGGCATCCGGATTTTTGGACTTCTACAATGAATGTATAATAAAAAAACACCATAGTTATTCATTGTAGGTGCATGGGGACTTTTTAAACACCCTAGATTCAGTGGCTCCACAGTTCATTTGGCAGAGCATTTGTCTTGTTTGTGAATGGTCATAGGTTCAAGTCCTGACCAGAAAGAAGGATTGGATTCCCATCTTGTACTCAGCAGTAAATGACTACTACACTGCTGATGGTAGAAAAACCCTTAGGTGGCCTATCATCAACCTAAGGAAGTGAAGTAACCAACTAGCTGCTGAATGTTAGTCCTTAAGAGATCAGCAACTGTGTAACCACCCGGTACCATGACAAGAAAAGGCTTACGTGAATAAAAAACAAAAATATATTTAGACAATAGAAATTACAAAAGCAATATCAACAATTAAAATGCTAAAGCAGTACACGGCAACATAAACCATGCAAGCCGTAAACAGGACATGGTGATGGATGATACGAGGGCTGTGAATGCATGCCCCCCCTCCCCTTCCTTATCCAAACACCCAACACAAAACTGATAAAACACTACAATAACATCATCAGCGCCTTTGAAATATTACTAAGAGGGAGGAGGTACTGAAATGACATCCTCTAAGCAGACAATGAATATTTCCTCCCAGCTTAAAGTTGTCTGATATTTCTGATGATAACTTTGAGGTCATTCACAGTCCCTTTATCATAACCTTCACAACAGGCCTGAGAAAACAAGGTAGATGTTAGTTATTACTTGCCATAAGGAGTTAACACAGTGATACCTCGATCCAACAGATATACAGTAGTCTGTTAGATGGAGGTTTCACATCTAATGAATCGTATACAGAAGGAAGTCAGTTAGGTGTGAAACCTCCATCTCTATAAAATTCATTTGAAAGAAGTAAAAGAGCAAAGCATTCACAAGCAAGAAATATAAAAGCAAGTGTTGGCTAAAACTAGGAAATTTTTTTTACAGACAAACCTGTGAAATAATAAGAGTCAAAACATGCAAGATTCACGATGCAAGATTTTAACAACTTGGTTCCATAAAATTCAGATTCAAAAGCAAACTAGTCGAGAAGTCGTGACTCAGAGAACAAGACGCTATGTGTGGGCACCGACATATTAATCGGTGATGCGTGTGCGTGTGTGTGTGTGTGTGTGTAAAGAGTCAACTAGTGTTTCTAAATGATATTATCCTAACAAGCACTCAAATATAGTTCCTAGAGAAGACCTCAAAGCAGAGTATTAGGTGGCTGATTGTTGTTCGCCTGATTCTTTAAGAGAGATTGTTTAACTGTTGTATTTTACGAGACAGAAGTGAACAGGTCACATACACCCTTCACTAACTGTCACAAGTGCTGTAAATTATACGTTAACTGTAATTAACTGGAAATAGACACTTATTTAAATACCAGTTGTCAATAAACCAGAAACTATTTACAGGGTGTCACAAAAAAAAGTATACAAACTCCCTTATAAATTTTCATAGTGATTGCAGAGATGTTTGTACATATTACTAAAGCAACATTGTCCTCACTTGTAGATGTGTGAGGCTTCCAACAAGTGGAGACAATATTGCTGGTGTAATGTAGTCATCAATCCACCGCCACAAAAAATCTATTAGGTAGTGTGTTTATGGTACATCTTTTTGAGACAGTCTGTATTTGGTGTCACTCACAAGTAATATTTTCTTCAAATTCTTTCTTGGAAAACTAAATCCTGTATGTTTTAACTTTCATCACTCAAAACCTCACTCCAGCTGGCTCCCCTCAGACTCCCCTTTGAGTGGTGATCATCCCTAGTCCAGTTGACTCTCCTCTGAGTGGTGACAATCCCTGCTGCCCTGCTGTGCTAAATAGTTTCTCTCAGAGTAAGGAAGCTCTCTACTGTGCTAAATAGTTTCTCTCAGGGAAAGGAAGCTCTCTACTGTGCTAAATAGTTTCTCTCAGGGAAAGGAAGCTCCCTACTGTGCTAAATAGTTTCTCTCAGAGTAAGGAAGCTCCCTGCTGTGCTAAATAGTTTCTCTCAGAGTAAGGAAACTCCCTGCTGTGCTAAATAGTTTCTCTCAGAGTAAGGAAGCTCCCTGCTGTGCTAAATAGTTTCTCTCACAACAAGGAAGCTCCCTGCTGTGCTAAATAGTTTCTCTCAGGGAAAGGAAGCTCCCTGCTGTGCTAAATAGTTTCTCTCAGGGAAAGGAAGCTCCCTGCTGTGCTAAATAGTTTCTTTTGTGCTATCTAAAGAGAGAAAATCCTAATATATGGGGTGTAAAAAGGTCTTTTCTGTCATATATACAAGTTATGTTAAAATTAATCAGTATATGTTGCAGTTATCATGGTTACACCTCAACGACACAGACAGATACATGGAGGGATGGAGTCCTATAGCTCCCCCCACATGTCAGCAGAGGGTAATAAACAAAAGAGGGAAGCTTAAGTATAGGAAATTAAAATGAAAAACCAAAGAAGAATAATAGAAGAAAGAAAGTGAAAAATGTCTATGTATTGTGATCACTTCTTTCAATGTACACAGAGTCAAAAAAGTATCTTCATGGAGAGGTTCGGTGAATTTCAAAATGAACACTGCGACTCCTGTTGTCTCGGTAGGGTTGTCAAAATTCTTCGTCCGTTGTGTCGTACTGTCTCGCACGGAACTGTAAAGATACTCTTTTGATTGTGTGTACAGGCATCCCTCGATTTAAATAAGGGTTCCATTCCAGATAATTAGTGGCAAATTAATCCTTTGTATATCAAGTGATGCCTGTGTTGTTCTCCCGAGAGGTGTTGTTGGTGTCCAGTATGATGATGTTAACTCCATGATCTATTTCTCTATGCAAGGTAGAGTATACACCTCTCTCTAGCTCAAACTCTATGAATGAATTTTAGGATGGCCAAGAAACATCATTATTAATATATACAGGATGTAAATGCAATGTTAAAAAAAAACCATAAAAAAAAGGTAAAAAAATAACAAACAGACACAATTTGTCACCAACACCACAAGCATACCTGCCAGATGTAAAAGCTGTTCCATTTGCAGCCCCGAAGGTGGATAGCGTGACAGCTAGAGGCATGAGGAAGGCTGCCCATCCTAGCACTCGATTGCCGAATGTCTAGCATAAGAAGGTTAATTGAAGACATTGGAAAGAATTCCCAGAAAGTTTGATGGCTACAGAACAGAAGTGGCTACAAACCTATACCATTATACCACAGAGTCACTTACAAACAACATTAACATAAAAGGATCTGATAATTATTCTATACATAAATGACTCCGGAATATGAAATAATGGTATGTTTATCACCAGAGCATGGGAGAGTCTTAGTACCATTTGGTTAATACAGTACCCAGATTATCACATAAAAGCACCAGTAAGAATAAACGAAAATAAACAGCATAGGAAATATTAAAGCATCAGCAGACCTCATTGTCGGGCCTAACGGAGAAATCCCCAACCAGAAGACAGATCATTTCACCTCTATACATTGTACACTCACAAAAACACGCACACATAACCCTATAGTAATTATGTATGTACTATTGATGTTTCTGTGTACACAAATAACAAAAAAAACTCTTACACACACGTAGAAAAAAAACTTGCTTGGAAGAGACAGAAGAGATCCATTTGGTAAGACTAACGTGATGTGTGAATTGTGTGAGCTGAAAGATGAAGTGTCTATATTCGTTGTACTGTGGGATGCACCTTACTGCCCTACCATGGCTCTTCACCAAGTTATAAATGCCTGAGCATCCTATGACAGTTAACAAAGTTTGTACATTTATGGAAAAAAGTCTTGTCTGTCCTTGGTCCCATTCATGAACCCTGACTCACGAACCGATGAATCCGAGGTAACACACAGTGAACCATCTATGGGCCCAACAATGTGTGATGTCTCGGTTCACGAGTCTCAGGGTTCATGGACGGGACAGGGGAGTGACAGTATATTAGGGCTCTAAATATATTAGATAATTAGCAAAGATGATGTTGAGTAATATAAGGATGGTCAATTTAGGTGTTTTGTCAAGGGATAAGAGGGTTGTATATAAGGGTATAAAGCAGTCTGGTTAGGTTTGAGTTAACAGAGATCACTGCTTTAAGTCTTCAAGGGTCAATATATTCATCATAAATAACATGTATTGGCCAGTTCTGTATTTTACTCAATATGAACTAATACAAATACAGGTAAGTGAATCTTCCTACATAAGTGTATGAACTTTTCAATGGGAAGTCAATACAGTATGACAGTATTACATCATGTTTCCAACAAAGGATGCGTGGCATGTGGGTGGGTAGGCGCATAGTGCTCTTGAGATACAATTGGCTACTACTGTCATGTGACTGCATGGCTGATGTGTCTGGCAACCTATCTCCTTAAACTCTTGCATCATAACACTTTTAGTTCACTGTCTGCTGCCATTGTACAAGCTTGTTTGCTTGCTCGCTGCTGTTTTTGCATACGATCTGTACTGTACATTATTGTAGTACCAGCATAAAAACAGCCAAGAATACTGTTAAAACTGTGTTAATATGTAAATGTGATTACAGTTATGTATACTGTACTGTATATTCATTAAGTGTGAAAGTACCATGTACAGTACTGTAGATAGCAGAGTGGACAATGTATGCCTACTATAGACTAGTGTGTAGAGGGTGTATACAGTATAAGGTGCTTGTATAATCCCTCCTTCATGGAGGGAGAGGAGAGTGACAGTTAGCAACACCTGCCACAATAGATGGTACAGGACAAAGGCAGGTCATCCTGTATTATCATATCACCATTTGACCTGCCTGCATCACAAGTTCAAGATGACAGCATCTGCTGGTGAGTGCAGCATAGTGTATACAGTATATATGTTGTTTATTAACAATATATTGTATGGTACAATAGTGTTTGCATAAAAAAATACAGCTCTGAGCCTGTCCAACTGCAGTCTGATGCAGAAACATTACAGGAATGTCCAATTTTTTCCAGGGATGAGAAAATTTGTCTCAGTACCCGGAAGTCTCTCATTCCCAGAACCACTCTGCACTAATTATTCCGGCTGATGGGGATCATATTCCTACAGTGCCCTGTCACCCATGAGGCCTAGTTTTTTTTTACAAAGTTTTGGTCTATGTTGGGGTGTAATAAGGTCTTTTACATGTTGAGGTGTAATAAGGAGGTCTTTTACTGTACATGTTGGGGTGTAATAGGGAGATCTTTTACATGTTGGGGTGTAATAGGGAGATCTTTTACATGTAGGGGTGTAATAAGGAGATCTTTTACATGTAGGGGTGTAATAAGGAGATCTTTTACATGTAGGGGTGTAATAAGGAGATCTTTTACATGTAGGGGTGTAATAAGGAGGTCTTTTACATGTTGGGGTGTAATAAGTTGGTGTGATTGTCAACAAGGAGTGGGCAAATAAAGAATAAAATCACAAGAAAGATCTTAAACTGAAAAATGACAAAAGAAAACAAAAGACAATCAAAGCAAAGTGTTATCAATAATAAAAATAATAAAAACCCAATTTTTTTACTTTACTATGATGGTTCACTGACCGATCCAAACTATGGCAAAATTACTGTTAGTATCTTGAGCATAACGACTTAATACTCTGAGCACAATTTATTAGTCCAGCATGATGGCTTAACCCCTTGAGCATGATGGCTTAACCCCATGAGGATGATGGCTTAAACCCTTGAGGATGATTGCTTAAACTCTTGAGTATGATAGTTTAACCCCTCAAGGATGATGGCTTAATGCCTTGAGTATGATGGCTTAACCCCTTGGGTATGATAATTTAACCCCTTGTGTAAGATGACTTAACCCCGAGTACAATTAATTAGCCCGGTGTTTATTATACCATAAACTCTCAAGTATGATGACTTTGCACCCAAATATAGATGCATCATTCTATTTAAGGGAACTTAACTAGTCATCGTACTCAACCAGTTAAAATTCTGTACTCAATACCCACAAAGCAACACACAGAACTCTTAATGGATACTCTGACAACACAATGACAGTCAAAATCACCCACATTCTACTCAAAACACAATCCCAAAACCCATCTGCAAATTAAACTACAAAACCTAAGCTGAAAATTAAAAAAGAAAAAAGAAGGAAATATATCATCATTATGGTCTTTTCTCCCCAATAACACAAACCAAATTTACTTCACCACAAAAATGTAAAAAACCATAAGAAACGATGCTCGATTGCCCTTAAGCCCCACATACATTCCTTTGTATCGCTATCATCGTCCTCTAAGTGGGCCATTAAATACTTGTAAAATTACCTCCCGGATGTGAAACAGTTGCCATTGGCCGCCCCAAAGGTTGACGTGACCACAGCAATGATCATTGTAACCTCTCCAGCAAACCCAAACACTTGACTACCAAAATACTAAAAAAAAAAAAAAGTATGTTGATGGATCATTATTTTATCATAGTGAGATTGGGGAAAATTATATATAGATATATGGATTAATTGCCTCGTGTAGTAAGATTTGGGATAACGAAAACAAAAACACATAGAGATGAATAATTTGCCTCGTGTAGTGAAATCAAGGAAACAACAACATAAATAAGATGAATAATTTGCCTCTTGTAGTGAGACTGGGAAAAAAAATAAGTTGACCCTCCACCAGCAGAGAAGATGTTACATAAGCACATGTTCAAGCAGCTACATGTAATAGTGTTCCTCCACCAAGAGCCAAGAGAGAGAGAGAGTAGGTCCTGTAGCTGTCATAAAATAAAAGTGTCCTGCATATAAAGAACTGAATTGAACGAAAAACAAACCTCCCGGCTGTAAAACTGGAGCCATTAGCTGCCCCAAATGTCGACATAACAACAGCGAAGATCATGATGCCTTCACCTGCTCTCCCCATTAGTTGATTCCCAAATAACTAAATAAAAATAACAAAACCAACAGGTCAAATTATAAAGAAAATTCTAATTAAAATAAAAATACTCTCAACACACAAATATTAAGACACATACATTACTAATATTCACAAAGACATTTTCTCTATTCAAAAAAGATTATTTAATACCTACAAGGAAATGTGACCATGTATAAAGAATGTCAACTCAGCCATCAAGCAAAATGCCATAAAACAAATGAAGATGTGGATGTAGTATTAGTATGTGGGCTAAGTACTCTGATATTGGGTACTGTTTCCATAGCTGGTAATATAATGAGGCTAATATAATGTACAACTTAATTATGGGATGGGTGACATTTATCTATCTAACCTGACCTAATGTAACCAGTTATTCATTCATCTAATATAACCTTACCTAACCTACACTGTATGCCTGCACTGTCAAAGTACATTGTTTATATACCTACACTGTCTAAACTCTAGGTACCTTGTATACCTACAGTGTCTACACTTTAGGTACTAGACTTTGTTTGTATACCTACACTGTCTTGGTACACTGTTTTGTATACCTGCTGTGCTTGTGTATCTGATCACTTCTTGTATATGATATATGATTATTTTATATTGCCTAAGTATGATATAGAACTCCTGTCTAAACCCGGCACATGTTCCCGTTTATGTATGAAAGAAGAAGTAGGATGAGTGCATATGACATGACCTGTGTATGAAGGCAGACATGACCTGTTAAAGAAGACATGACTTGTATAAACAATGACTCCCCCATTGGTACAGGTAACAGCCAATGGGGTAATAAAGACATACAGAGAAACAAAAAATTCATAATAATTAAAAAAAAATCAAAATCGTACCCATCAATTATCTTATATCAACAATTAAATATTTCTATGGTAATAAAAACCTTTAATCTTACATCTATGTTAAATTCTACATGGAATTATAATACATAGAAGTACTTTTTCACCAACTAAATAAACATCTACAACTATATACAGTACCTGGGTATTTATAAATCACTTTTGGGGTTAATTTTCATTCAATTTATCTCAATTTTTGGGGGGGATGTTTTTATTCTTGTTTGATTTTTGGTAAAGATAAAGGTCTTGTTGACATGGATAATGACTTAAGGTAATGATTAAAGCCTCATTGATATGGATAATGACTCGCCATTATTCTATGTTAATGAAAAATTACTTTCTTAATTATATCTCAACTTGGGTTAGCATCACAATCCCAACCCAACCCAACCTAATGAAAGGTCAAGTTACCCCAGGACATACTGTAACTCCTCTCCTGGGTGTGGGGTAGTGGGGGGGGGAGTGTTCGTGGGAGATTTATCCTATCCCAAAGTGGGGTCAATACGTACCACTGCCACAGTCTCCGAGGCGAGGAGCTCCTCCTGACTCATAACAGCCAGGTAGGAGACGTTGACCAGCAGGTAGCATACAGTGACCAGGGGAAGTCCAATGATGATGGCCCGGGGAAGGTTCCTGTAGAGGGCCATATTGATATTGTATTAGTACCTGGTGTGTGTGTGTGTGTGTGTGTGTGTGTGTGTGTGTGTGTGTGTGGGTGGGTGGGTGGGTGGGTGGGTGTGTGTGCAATTCAATTTATCACCCATTATTCTATTTACTGTCACATTTACTCCCATTCATTTGAAACTCCTAACTTCCTCCACTCTATCTCACTTTACACTAACAATCATTTCTCACTGTCTTTGTTCTCTACATATTATCATTACTAGTCTAAGTATGTTCACATTTACTTTAAAATCTTTGAAAAACAAAACATGAAATTCACCTTCCCATAATGGCCACCTTGTTCGTATATAACAAAAGCTTATAACATATAATAACATCAGTGTTCCAGTTGAGGTTCCATCACATTACTTAATGGGTTCTGGTAGTCTCAGATATCTGCCTTATGTAGATAAAATCCTCAAGCTTCATAGTGCCATAATGATTGGATCTGTAGGCTTAACACCACAACACTGACTGCAAGTTTCACCCTTAAGTATTACTCCCACAAGCTACTGAGCAGCGTCAGATGTCTCAAGAAATAGACTCATCCACGTGATCCACAAAAAGGTTCAAATAATCAGACACCATTACCTGGCATCACAAGGTTTATTTTGGCAGATTAAATGTGGTACACAGATGTGTTGATGAAGTGACACCTATTCTAATTGTGGACACTGATGCATGGTGTGTGTGTGTGTGTGTGTGTGAAGAGGACTGTAAAGTATTTACCTTACAAGGTCCAACACTCAATCCAAGCCTAATGGAGTTTATTACCGTGTAAACTAACTTCCACACCCAGTAATAAGATGTATACACAGTACGGTGTCTGGTTGCCAAAATGGTGGAGTAACCCACTACCTGCTGAATGGTGGAACAACCCATGGGTGGACTAGCATCCTGCTAAGGTGGTGGAGTAACCCAGTAGTTGCTTAATACATAGACAGTAAACAAAACAAAAATAGTCTCTGAATTAAGGATGGAGGGAATAGAGTATTGATGTAGTAACCAGTCAACCTAACAAAAACATATGTTGTCCACCTGATCTGTAATTCTTAGAACTACATCATCACTACACAATTATTAACCCAACTTTCATTAATACTACTACAGTACTTAAAATTAAGACACAATCTAACTTAACCTAACCAAAAGAGTAAAAAATACCTTAATGATTGAAAAATAATCGATTCTTATTATCATTCCAGTAGAGTATTACTATCTCAAGGTGTTACTACTGGAGGAAAGATGTGATAGAGGGACTTACGTGTAGGGTTTCTTCAGCTCCTCTGTCACATAGTTGAGGTTGTTCCTGTGGGAAGAGGCTGTGTTAATACTGGACCCAGATTATGTATTCATACTGTGAAGACACATGTACAGTATTCTGAAGAAACAATAATGTATTGTAGACACATCTATGTACTGTATATTGCAAAAACACATGTATGTACAGTATTGTGAATAAGAGAGAGAGAGAGAGAGTTATTGCCTGTGTTTATGCTTACGAGCTTGAGTGTATTTCTACGAGACTGTGGGCATGTTTGCGTGTCATAGTACATTTTCTTGAATGTGTGTTTATGGGTACATGTGCTTGTGTATGTTTATGTGTGTATGTGAGCTTATGTTGGTGTGTGATCTTGATTATGACTATATTTGTGTGTGTTATTGACTGTGTTTGTTCAGAAATGTGTGTGTATGTACTTGCCTTTTCCTAAGCACCAACACCTCCTCTTAACCAGAAAGAATAATATATCTTTAATTTGAAATGTAGAAGACTAATTTACTAATATATAATACTCTATACTACATATATAAAGGCCTTAGTTACTGAAGCAGACAAATACATTACTAAACCAACATTCTTCCTTGACTCACCAGCCATCATAGGCCCAGAGTCCACTGTAAAAGGCTGTCGCTATGTCACCCAGGCTGGAGGTGGAGCCTTTGAACCCTGTAGCTAGGTACTGGGTGTTTCCCTGTGCCAGCTTCACCACTCCGCCAATCACGATGATCAGGATGGCCAACAGTTTAGCCGCCGTGAAGATGTTCTGTACCTTTGTGGCCAGATTCACCGAGTACGAGTTGATGAAGGTGATTAAGACTGCAAGAGTGAATGTGGGAGTTATTTATAGGGTTGATATGCCTAAGGGTAGTGTTGCTAAATTGGTTTGGTTGGTATGCATGATTAAATATTAATGAACTGGATAATGATTGGATAATGAACTGTGAACTGGTAAATGACTGGATGACGAGATGACAGTGAACTAATTGGGAAATGAACTAGGTGAGCTTATTAATGATTGAATAATGAACTGAAACCGAATAGTAATAATAATAGTGAGATTAATAATGATAATAATACTACTAATACCTATAACAATAATAATAATAATTTGAATTTAGTATTACTAAAATGACTTTCTTAAGTAAGTTATAACTACAGCAATTAACTTATAAACTAAACTTGTAATACTTAGGAAAAATTACTGAAAATAATACAAAATTGTAAATTCAGAACTACCAGTAATCATTTTTTTGGTAACATTAAGATACAGTCATTACTACAGTATAGCAAAAACAACCTTATGAAATCTTATTACTGTATTGTATTTGTCTGTCTCTATTAATTCCAATCATCATCAATTCTCTACTGTTCTCAACCTCTTCCTCTCTTCGTTATTCCTTATATACATATAACATTCTCAGTTTACACTGGTCTCTCCTCCACCCTTCAGATGCCACTGCTCTCCATCTACATAGGGTATCCTCACACACACCCCTACCCACAAATATATCCATCTACCCACCCACACACACCTACACAAACAACTATCCATACACCAACATCTACCCCACACACACACAGCTAACCTCATCCTTACCTACCAACACACACACACACTCTCTTTGCCTCCTGCCGTGGGTGGTGTAAACAGTGTGTTCATCACGTGCTGGTGGCCGGGGAGATGAGCCAGTGTATGCACATGACTTCCGTGTTGTATGATGAGCGTCACCTGTGCCAACACTCCTAAGTTATCCCTTAAGTGTTCGTGCCATCATGCTTGCTGGTCATCTCTCGCAGTTATTAAGTACAGTATATACATATTTACATAATTTATATATTCTGTACCACCGAGTAAAGGATTTTAGGTTATATATAATGGTATATCAGGATTTATACCGTGCAGTGATGCTGTTATGTGTGTCTAAACTTACCATTTTCTATAACTTGCTAACATTTTCATTTTCTATAACTTGCCAAACATTTTACCTGCACTGGTATTTCTCTTCAACATAACAATTAAAATTTGTCTCTTATCTCTTTCTGCATATTCTCACAAACTTTTATTTCTGTATTTATAAAAAAATGATGTAAGAATAAAGTAGTCATTGAGTACTTATGACAAAGACGGCGAAGAGTTTGACTGCCAGGTCTGGCGGGGCACAGTCGCTGCTGCCTGTGTTGAAGATCCTGACGAAGTACTCGGCACAGGTGAGGCAGATGATGGCAAGGCTAGAGGGCTTCAGCAAGAACATTGACACCCAAGCGTACAAGAACGCGGGTATGGGGCCCCACCACGTCCGTCTAGTCTTGCCCGGGGCGAAACCTTCAAGGAAATAGGAGTACTCTCCCCCCGAGGCATCGACGAGCGTTCCAAGCTCAGCGTAGGCTAGCGCCCCTGTGTGGGTGTGGCATGCAAGGTTACGTCACACACACTAACTTTAACTAAAGCAATAATAATAATAACAACCATAAAGGGTAAAAATTAAAGCATGCAGGGATAAAAATGGATCATTTATAGCATAGCTGAAAAAATAAATAAAGTAATCTAAACTTAGAACATCAACGACAAGGGGGGATTTAAGCATGCAGGGGTGACAGTTATCATACAGTGCTGTCAAGGAGAGAGAGAGAAAGAAGTGTTAAAACGACTCCATCTCTGTATTCCAAGACTCAGGTGGTCTGCGGGTCTAACATGAACCACCGAACCTGTGAGTCATTGAAACAGAGGACAGGTTCCATTAAAACACCTGAAAACATAAGCAAAGGTGTATAAATGAAAGTCGAGCAAGTAACATAACTAAAAATAGGAGCAAACATATACTGTATACTTATTTGACCTACAACAACATTATGCACATGTAGAGGAAAACTTGTACATTAATACAATACCTATACATTAAAATACAAACTATACATTTATATATGCAGACTATATAATACAACAATGCAGATAAAAAGCCCTAGAGTATAATGTCATCTTATCGAAGCGGTTAAGTCATTGTAATAAAAGGGTGGTCATCATACCTAGGGGTATATCACTGTAATCCAAGAGGATAAATTATCGTACTCAGAAGGCAATCATCACACTCAAGGGGTAAAAGTCATTGGGATTATCATAGTTATGAAGGGCCAATTCACGGTATACTACTCGGAGAAGTGTCATCATACTCAAGGGGTTATCATCATACTCAAGAGGTTAACATAAACACACTGTGGTCAAACATGCTGGAAAAAAAAATACAAAACATAAAACAAATTTATTAAAAATATCACTATTATGTGCAGAAAAAAACTAGCAAAGAAATATCTGTGAAGGTCAAGTTACAAGGGAAAGCACAGAGCAAACAACAAAGTAAACACAGAGAGAGGCAATGTGTGTGTGTTCATATCCTCGGAGAAAAGAAGGCGAAGTATTTAGTTCATTGCAGTGGTGTTCTTCTAGGCGAGTATCCCATTTGGTTTTCGTTGCCTCATGGTAACTTCGGCTCTACTTGACGGATTTGAGTGAAACTTGGTACAGTATATTTTTGTCTTTTGGGTAGGAATTCTAGTCACTTTTAAGCTATGGTGGGGTATGATGCCCAGTTTGTGGTGGGTATATTAGGCACGATACCATGGCGAACGATTTGTGAAGTTAATTCGTGTGTTGACGGAGGTGCAACGGTAGGCATCTTGAGCTACTGTCCATATACCATCAGTCACTCACTATCACACATCCTCACCATCAGTCACTATCATGCATCATTACCATCAGTCACTATCACACATCCTCACCATCAGTCACTATCACGCATCGTCACCATCAGTCACTATCAAACATCGTCACCACGGCTCACCAATAGTCAGAGCACCCAGCAGCTGAATGGCCATGAGGGGAGGTTCACAGTTGGTAGCGAAGGCCTCGACTAGGTACTTGGAGAAGGACAAACATATGATAGCCAACATTGCGGGTTTGAGAAGGATGATGGAGACCCAGGCGAAGAGGAAGGCTGGCAGGTGGCCGAACGCCGTCATGAAGTAGGTGTGCTCTGCCCCCGACGACGGTATCATGCAGCCCAGCTCCACGTAACACAGCGCCCCTGGTGTGTACGTCATCGTCGTACCAACGTATTGGAAGTCGTACAGCACGAATCACGTCGTCGTACGGTGAAGACCATATTGTCGTCCAGCGAGTAATAGTGATATTGCATGGCGGGAGGATAAGTCACAGTGCATTGGAAGGATAGGATGTATTGCAGTGGGGAACAAGTTATCGTTCAGGGAGCAACGCGACACATTTACAAAGGTGGTAAAGGGTTAGTGATAGGAATAAATTATTTACAAAGGTGTCATTTAGGAGTAAATTATCAGACGAAAAAGCAGGATTAATAGAGGAGGTGGTATTGGTGAAGGACGGCGTTGTGTTGACAGACCCCAGATGATGATGGTGGTGGTTGTTGTTGTTGTTGAAGTTGTCCAGGTCCAGAGGAAAGCAATAAAACAAGAAAAAAGATAGAAAATAAGAATCACCTGAATAAATTATCTTACATGTGAGTTAATTAAGACATTGTTACCTGTGTTTTCTGATTAAGTCTGATTCTACCTGTATACAAGACTCATTAATGGGACTGCTGTGAATAATATCCCTCATCAATCCTCTTAAGAAAATAGTTGGGTAAAATATACGTTAAGTAATAGTAGCATTAAATATGTCCATCTGATGTTACTGCTCTCTCTCTCTCTCTCTCTGTGGGAAGAAATATGATAATTTAAACTACATCAGAAAACACTGTAATCAGGGTTCCGGGTTTGGAGTTCGGGTTCATGGGTTCGGGTTCACGGGTTTTGGGGTTCCAATTTCGGGTTCGTGGGATTGGGGTTCAGATTTGGGGATTTGGATAGTGACATCACTAGGAGGCATTGGTTGGTAAATATAAGTTCCACCAATGTTCATACAAGTTACATTTTATTTTCTCAGGATTCTGGCTGAATTCTTTACCTTTTCTCTTAACAAGTACAGGGTAGGGTAAAAGATCTGGTAACTGTGTATAAAAAAAGATCGGTTGCCCTCCCCAATAGTTGTCGGGTATTTGCTTTTTTGTGAGAGGGGGGTGAGGGGGGTGAGGGGGGTGGAGGGGTGTAACCTCTAGCAGAATTATTGGAGGGGTGTTACATCCCCCCCCCTCCTCTTCATGACGTTACTGGTTAGGATTAGGGATTCGTGGGTTCAGGATCCGGTAGTGAGTTTGTGATTAGAAGAACTGTATATATTGTATAGACGGATGTAATGTCTAAGGAATATTTATATAAACATTCTAAGTCTTGTATATTAATATTTGCAATAACATATATTAACATTCTAACTGAAGTAATACATCTTAATACTGTATTTCAAGGTACATAAATTCACTAAATTCTACTCATAAATATAAACCAACATCCTAACTTATAAATGTTTAAATTCTAACTTCAAATATAACAGAAACATCCACACATTGATAAGTTTTCTCTAGTTTGTTTCAACATATAAATGCATTACAAAAATCAAATTCCTACCAAATTATTCTCAAAAATATTCTTAAGTCGATTATATTGAAGGGAAGGCAAATTATGTGAGAGGGCAGTACATAATTATAAACATTCGGCCATTGTTGACCTTCAATCTATGACACTACGACTCTAAATCATTTATGAAAGATGACAAGAGTTAAATTAATCCATAACTACCTGACAAAGAAATCAATTTAACCCTACAATATCAGGCCTAAACTAATATCTTTTAAAACAATACTTTAAATCGTTAGTTCATGTCATGTCATCTTTCATAAGTAGTTGTCTATGACTCATGTTACTTATAAGGAATGACATGGCAAAACATTCCCAATATTTCTAGTCCAAACCAGATTAACCACCGAGCAACCACAACATTCCCACATGTGACGTCAGTGTGTGTCGTCAAATCACTGCAATTCTGACAGTGACGTCAAGCGAGTACTTACCAACCACATCATTGCTATGTGTGCCATCGTCCAATCATATCATTCCCTACTGTGAAGTCAACACCAAAAAGTCATAAAAAAATATTGGAAAAGCCATATTATTTTAATTAACAATGCCACAAAAGTTATGCAGTAAACAATAATGAATTTGAACGTAAGTCAGCTAGTTTTTTAAAGTTATTTTTGCATACAAGGTTACTAAATATTTATGCAAATAACGAAAAAAAATCTAATCTGAATGGGGAGCGTCAACTAAACCAGTTAGTTATATTTCTACATATATTTAATTCCGTTTATACATAACTAAAGTTTAATTAAGTAGACAACCCCAAACTACCACCATACATAACGTTGCTCAGTTAACAACTATTTGCATCACATGACGTCAGCAACAACCATGACTGATAGCTGACGTCGTGTTAGTCTTGGCACGAGAGCTCCCTTACTGCCGGAAGTGACAACTTGACAACCTCGGGATGACAAATGACGATCAATCGGTGACGTCACACAGTACTGACAAATAGCGATCGCTGTGACGTCATTGAAGGGCGACTCATCAAGGTAAGATAGATCTCTAACTCATAAGAAGGAAGTTTCATATTTAACGGACTAATCCCTCACATAGTCCGTTAAATAGAATGTTTGAGAGTTTAAGAGAGACTCCAAGTGACTTACCGAGGAGCGATAGGATGCCACAGCTAGCCCAGACTATGAGACTCAGTGCTACGCTTCCAGTCCTCTCGAGTAATCCTTTTGGGCTCACGAAAATTCCTGAACCTGTGGAGGAAGATGTTGGTCAGGTGTGTGGGGGGTAATGAGGTCAAGTTATAGTCTCAGGTAACACTCAGGTGGTATTATAATAACACTCAGTAACACAAGTATCACTAATAGCACTCAAGTAACACTCAAGTATCAATCTGGTAACACTCAACTAACACTCAAGTATCAATCTAGTAACATTATCATTCTAGTAACACTCAAGTGCCACTATCAAGTAATGTACTACTCAAGTATCACTCAAGTGCCATCTAGCTTAAGACTATCAGTGGCACCAAGATAAGAATTCAACTTTGTCTGACCGGGAAGACAGTGCCAAACCTGATCAATATCCCGATGGAGTTATGAACAGTCAACCAAAAACTATCCATACAAAATTGGGTTGATAAAATATGACACAACGGACGAAGGATTTTGACAACCCTACCGAGACAACAGGAGTCACAGTGTTCATTATGGGGTTTATCGATCACCCGGAGTACAGATAGTTTTTTTGACTGACTGTACATAGGTTAGTGGTGTACAGGAGTTAGTTGTGGTGTACAGGAGTTTAGTGGTGGTGTACAGGAGTTAGTGGTGGTGTACAGGAGTTTAGTTGTGGTGTACAGGAGTTAGTTGTGGTGTACAGGAGTTTAGTGGTGGTGTACAGGAGTTAGTGGTGGTGTACAGGAAGTTAGTGGTGGTGTACAGGAGTTTAGTTGTGGTGTACAGGAGATAGTTGTGGTGTACAGGAGATAGTGGTGGTGTACAGGAGATATTGGTGGTGTACAGGAGTTTAGTTGTGGTGTACAGGAGATAGTGGTATTGTGTACTACTTCAAAATCTGTTACAAGAGGTATATCTATACAGTATTTGTATATCAATAAGCACAATACATCATTATATTTCACGTATACTTGTTCAGTGATGCCTAACTCATGAACGAATACCTCATATTGGAATAAATAAAATACACAAATAAATAAATAAATCGATTTTTTCAACAATTAACTTGATGTTTTTTTCAATTACTTCGTCGTTAAATCCATAAATAATAGTTATATAATTTGTCCATCGCTTCCGTGATATAACCCGTGGCGACTATCGATCTCGGTCACACTAACCAGAAGACAAATCAATGGTACTTATCAATTACTTCCAACCAATTAATCAGAATACAATAATTATTTACCAATCACAAGAAAATCAGTCCTCTCCACTCACAACCAATCAGAAGGCTACTTACCAATCACAAAAGAATCAGTACTCATCAATCACACTCCCAAACCAATCAGAAGAGCTACTTGTCATTCACATACTCAACCAATCAGAACTCACCATTCATACTTAAACCAATCAGAAGATCTACTTACCAATCATGGTCCCGACAATCAGAGCAACCCCACTGAGGAGCCCCACCCGCCTCTCGAGGTTAATAGCGTCATTCGTAGTTGGTCCGCCCCCCTCCACACTTGTACACTTGCCTTCAGCTTGGCTCTCTGACCTCGGGAGGCTCGACCCCCTGCCCCGCACACTCTGGCTGCTGCTGATCCCCTCATGTCCTGTAGGGGAAGAGAGAGAGGTAGTGTAGGTTAGCTTCTGCAGGTATAATAGTGATTTAGTTTGTTTATCTTCTCCTTCAGGTAAAGAGGGAGGGAGGGAGGGAGGGAGGGAGCACATGGGGTCAGGGAGGGAGAGAGGAACTTGGGGGGGGGGGAGGAGGTAGAGAAGCACTTGAGGTGAGGGAGAAGCACATTAGGTGAGGGAGAAACACATAACGTGAGGGAGAGGCACTTGAGGTGAGGGAAGGAGGAAGGCAGAAAATTTATTTTAATTCATATCCTCACCAAGACCAAAGGCGACAGGTGTTAACATCTCCAGGTAGGTACAGAGGTGAACACAGGCTGAGGCATTGGTTTAAAATCTTCAAGTACAAAATTAACAACACAACACAACACACCTTAAAACACTAACACAACACACCTTAAAACACTAACACAACACACCTTAAAACACTAACACAACACACCTTAAAACACTAACACAACACACCTTAAAACACTAACACAACACACCTAAAACACTAACACAACACACCTAAAACACTAACACAACACCCAAAACACAAACACAACACACCTAAACACAAACACAACACACCTTTAAAACACTAACAACACACCTAAACACTAAATACAACATACCTTAAAACATTAAAACACAACACACCTAAAACACAAACACAACACACCTTAAAACACTAACCCCCCAAAAACAACATCAGCAACACGACAACAATACCTAACAACCTCGCCATTACAACACGTAGATACAATACAAACCCCTCATTACTCATGTCGTCATTAGGGACATAAGGTCATGATGTAATTAAAAGATAATGATGGTGTACCTTATCTGGCTCCTATACGTGTACTGTACTGCCTCCATACAGCCCATAGTGGAGGTGTATGATGTAAGGAGAGGTGTATGATGTATGAGAGGTGTATGATGTATGAGAAGGTGTATAACTTGGAGGTGTATGATGTATGAGAAGGTGTATAACTTGGAGGTGTATGATGTATGAGAGGTGTATAACTTGCAGGTGTATGATGTATGAGAAGGTGTATTATGTCACGCTATAAATTGGCTCTTCCGGCAGGGTGATAATGGGGGAGGGAGGGGAGGCACAGGGGAGGGGAGGGAGAGAGGGACAGAGAGGGGAGGGGAGGGAGGGAGGCACAGGAAGGGAGGGAGGCACAGGGAGGGGGAAGGAAGGAGGGAGGGGAGGGAGGCACAGGGAGGGAGGGAGGGGGAGGGGAGGCACAGGGAGGGAGAGGGGAGGGAGGGAGGCACAGGAGGGGAGAGGAGGGAGGGAGGCACAGGGAGGAGAGGGAGGGAGGGAGGCACAGAGAGGGGAGGGGAGGGAGGGAGGCACAGGGAGGGGAGAGGAGGGGAGGGAGGAGGGGAGGGAGGAGAGGCACTGGGAGGAGGGGGAGGCACAGGGGAGGGGAGGGAGGCACAGGGGAAGGGAGGGAGGGAGGGACAGGAGGAGAGGGAGGGAGGACAGGGAGGGGAGGAGGGAGGCACGGGGGAGGAGGGAGGGAGGGAGGCACAGGGAGGGGAGGGAGGCACAGGAAGGGAGGGAGGGAGGCACAGGGAGGGGAGGGAGGACAGGGGGGGAGGGAGGGAGGCACAGGGAGGGGAGGGAGGGAGGCAGGGAGGGAGGGAGGGGAGGCACAGGGAGGGGAGGGAGGCACAGGGGAAGGGAGGGAGGCAAGGAGGAGAGGGGAGGGAGGCACAGGGAGGGGGGAGGGGAGGGAGGGAGGGAGGGAAGGGAGGAGGCACTGGGAGGGGAGGGAGGGAGGCACAGGGGAGGGGGGAGGGAGGGAGATGGGGAGGGGAGGGGAGGAGAGGGGAGGGAGGGGAGGAGGCACAGGGAAGGGAGGGAGGGAGGAGGGAAGGGAGGGAGGGAGGCACAGGGGAGGGGAGGGAGGCACTGGAGGGGAGGGAGGGAGAGACGGGGAAGGAGGGAGGAGGCACGGGGAGGGGAGGGAGGCACAGGGGAGGGAGGGAGGCACAGGGAAGGGAGGGGAGGGGAGGCAGGAGGAGGGGAGGGAGGACAGGGGAAGGGGAGGAGGGAGGCACAGGGAAGGGAGGGAGGAGAGACGGGGAGGGAGGGAGGCACAGGGGAGGGGGAGGGAGGCACTGGGGGAGGGAGGAGGAGGAGCAGAGGGAGGGAGGGAGGCACAGGGGGAGGAGGGAGGCACAGGAGGGGAGGGAGGAGCAGGGGAAGGGAGGAGGGAGGAGGCACAGGGGAGGGAGGGAGGGAGGCACAGGGGAGGGAGGGAGGGCTGGGGAAGGGAGGGAGGGGAGGCACAGGGGGAGGAGAGGAGGAGGCACAGGGGAGGGAGGGAGGCACAGGGAGGGAGGGAAGGAAGGAGGAGGAGGGAGGAGCACAGGGGAGGGAGGGAGGCACAGGGGAAGGGAGGGAGGGACTGGGGAGGAGAGGGAGGGAGGCACAGGGGAGGAGGGAGGAGGACTGGGGAGGAGAGGGAGGGAGAGGGCAGGGGGGAGGGAGGCACAGAGGAGGGAGGAGGCACAGAGGAGGGGGGAGGGAGGAGGCACAGGGAGGGAGGAGGGAGGCACGGGGAGGGAGGGAGGGAGGGAGGCACAGGGAGGGGGGAGGGAGGGAGGCACAGGGAGGGGGAGGGACGGGGAGGGGGAGGGACAGGGAGGGGAGGGAGGGACGGGGGAGGGAGGGAGGAAGGAGGAGGGAGGGAGGGAGGAGAGGGAGGAGGAGGAGGGAGGGAGGGGAGGAGGAGGGAGGGAGGGAGGGAGGGAGGAGGAAACATATAAACACCCCCACCAACTTACTCCTCGTGACGTCATCGCAGTGTTGCCAGCTAATTATGACGATGAATAATATTAATAACTTTTAATGTGAAGACGAGTCCCGGTGAATAATGAACCAAACCTCATTAGTAAGAAGTAATTAACCCACGGATATAATAATAGACGTTTAATGACCTGTAATTGCTTGTCGGCGGTAATTAGTGAGTCGTGGTCACATCAGCTCGATTTGTTTTCAGTTCGTGACGTAAAACTTGACATTTACACGAAAATAAAGTTATTGGGCCAGGAAGCTCAATAAAACACGACTAACCTAACTTAACCTAATCTAGCCCTAACGTAACTATACCTCTAATCCAACCTACCTTACACCTAACTTAACACAATCTAACCTAACTTTTCCCTAACCTAACTTAACCTAATCTAACTTAACCCTAACCTAACCTAACCTACTTCACCAATACAAACATTTGGGGAGAAGAGATGGGGGAGGGGGATTCCCATGCTTAGTTTGACCTAATTTCCAGTGTCCGGGTCAACAGAGACGTCAGATCGAATGAGGCTAAAGGTCAAGCCAGGTGAGGCGAGAGGTCAAGCCAGGTGAGGCGAGAGGTCAAGCCAGGTGAGGCGAGAGGTCAAGCCAGGTGAGGCGAGAGGTCAAGCCAGGTGAGGCGAGAGGTCAGCCAGGTGGGGCAGAGGTCAAGCCAGGTGAGGCAGAGGTCAAGCCAGGTGAGGCGAGAGGTCAAGCCAGGTAAGGCGAGATGTCAAGCCAGGTGAGGCAGAGGTCAAGCCAGGTGAGGCGAGAGGTCAAGCCAGGTGGGGGGCAGAGGTCTGGCCAGGAGGTGAGACAAGAGGTCAGGGGGCAGCTACATAAATTCACCCTTGACCTGACCTGACCTGGGAGAGAGATAATGAGACAGAGAGAGATAGAGACGTTGTGAGAGACATTCCTTATTCCCCTCTTTCTCCTACCCACTCTCCTCAAGGCGTAGACTCACACACACACACACACACACACACTCTTTCATTCTTTCCTGACTCCTCCCCCCTCTCTCTCTCTCCCTTGGACCATCAAAGAGTCTTGTTATGGTACAGTCTAGGTACATTTTCGCCGCCATCTTGGTGACGTGTTTTAAACCAGTCACTAATAGGCGTTAGGTGAAGGTTGGTTAGGTTAAGTGATAAAAAACAAACAAATAAACAACATAAGATATTTATAAACAAGTAAACAAATTGAGACAAACAAGAAATAGTGAGGAAAACAAGAGTGACATGAAATATTCCGGTAGTAATAAATTAAATTGTAATTCACGTCACGTTTCAGGGTGTGTGTGTGTGTGTGTGTGTGTATGAGAGAAAGATATATAGATAGCGAGACAGACAGACATAGATAAAGACAGATAAATAGATAACAGCATTAATAAGAATAATAACCTTACGTAGTGAATTATGAAACATTTGTGAAGGTGTATGAGCCAGCCGTGTGTTGTGGTGTCTCAGATGGCGGGAAAGTCGAGCTTGGCAAAATAATTACCAGAGACCACAACAAATATTCCTTCCTCCTCGGTTCATCCCCTGCTGACCGAAACCACTTTTGCTGCTTCCTCGCTGTTTTGTAAGTGTTATTTAATGTATAGGATACTTTAAATTGTACTGGAATGTGTCTGTGGTGCTGGAACGAATCTTCAAATTGATGTACACCCAGAGACGGTGCTGTAATAACTCAATAGAATTTAGTACTTTTAAGCATAGTGTGCACATAATTGACCCAACACTGCTGGCTGAAGAAACATGATAAATCTTATTCTTGGAAGTATGGCGGATACTGACGCCCACGTGTAGTGTTCATATTGGTTTATGTTTTCCTCTAACCTAACCCAAAAACAAACCTAAACCTAATCACAACCAAACCTAACCTAAAACAAACCTAAACCTAACCTAATCTAACCTAACCAAACCTAACCTAACCAAACCTAACCTAACCTAACCTAACCTAACCAAACCTATCCTGTTATCATATTGACAATTACATTACGGACGGAAGCACTAACGACACAGTCATAACCCCCCTTGTGACAACAGAGACCTTATGGTGAATGACATTAAAGACTAACACCATTAGCACCATCAACACCATAGATGCACACACACACACACACACACACACACACACACACACACACACCCAAAGCTCTAGACAAAAGGTAGAGTC